TCAATACATTTTATTATTATTTAAAATATTTTTAGGTGCATTTCTGTCCTGATCTTGTTGACCTGCCTGGATCTAAGCTTGGTAACTTGTTCAAGAGTTATGATCCACCCCAGGTGATTGAAGGTGTTGTTGCAAATTTTTTAGTCCTATTTTTAGAAAAGCTAGATTGAGAACCCGAATTCTTGTCCTTGAGGACAAATTCCACTTTCCGTGAGAACCTCGGGAAACCTCGGTTCTCACGCAACTTACGGAAGCCTCCAAGGCTGCCTTTCTCTGCTAATCCTACTTGCTAAAATCTTGTCCTTGTAGGACAGTTTTCCTGTTCTCCAAAATCATAATTATCAGTACAGTCCGGTTTCTGCTTCTCAAGCGTGCGGTTCCTCCAAGACTTCGCGAGCGATTTCATCGAGTGTCAATCTTGCATCCTACGAATATATCAACATTATAATAGGGTGTTCTCACCCCGGTCGTAGCCCGACCGAATTCCTGAGTCTCATTCAAAAACTTCCATCCTAAAACTCTCTTCTAAAAAAGGGTTTCACTACTCAAATCATCATTTGTTGGGTTTATTCCTGACACCAGCAGCAGTTTCAACAAGCAGTCTTTTGCATGAGATATGACACAGAAGCAATTGATGATTGAATACAGAAACAATTCACTGTTTTAACAATTTTCTTGCTATGGAAATTTTCATCCCTGAGCATTATCCTTCTAAAAGGATTTCCCCAAGAATCCCAAATCTCATGGGAACTCAAGGTTGAGTTTGGTCCCACCAGATCCTCAACTTTCTCAAAATATTGCCGTTTTCCTGTCACCACTCTAATCCTGTTGTATTTTAACCTATTACTGATTTCAATTTCCAACATTTACTTCATACATGCCCAGCTGCTAAACCCATTTTTGAAAAAAAAATCACCCATATCCAGCCAGCCATGGAATACAGGTGATTTATGCCTGTGTGTTTACACCTGGCTGAAAAATGGCTGATTATTTGCTGGGATTTTAGTGTTTTGCTCATTAAATCTCTTTGTTTGGGGAAATCTCTAACACTACATATAAGAGACACTTACATATTGACTTCCACAGATAAAAAATTGTGCAAAATCCTTGAAAGTAGCAAAAACATTTTGTTTCCATCAAATCAAAAACATTTTAAATATCATCGAATAAAATTTTAACAAATGGATGCTATTTTTCCAAGTGTCCATGGCTCAATATCTGAAGTTTCATCTCACATTGGTAATGCGACGCAGGTAGCAGATGTGAGGACGTATTTCGAACTGATCAGTGATCCACCGCAACTTCGAAGTCTGTAAAAAAAAACCTTGACTTGGATTCTGGCAGTATGTTCAAAACCTTTCCGATTTGTGACTTCTATTCCTTTGATTATGGCTGGTCGAATTTCCGGCGCAGCTGAAAATTGGGAAGATGAGAAAATTGTTTTAAAAATGTGATGGGTTTACGATTGGATTTTTTTTTTTTAGGAAGGACGACCAATTTTTTTTTTCATCCTTCGAAAAAATTTGGACAGTCTTACAATCAGGGTTGAGTGTGGTAGATGTCGTTCCCTCTTGTCCATTCTGTCTCATTTCCTGACGTTCGGCGAAAAATCTTGTGGCTGTTGCTCCTGAAATTAATTGAATTAAAAAAAAAAATCAAAATTGAACGAATGCTTTGCTTCAAAAATTTTTTTTCATTACCCCGCATGCTTAGGAATAAGTGAAAGAGAATTTGCAGGACCAAAAACGGCCTTGACCCGCATGTCGCCATGACAAATTGTGCTAAGCTCTTTCTTGCCCTTTTTTCCGCTGCTGATTTTATCACGGACATGCACCAAATTTTATTTATATTATGATTGTTTCCAGAATTATATTGAGCCTCTTTTCAATGATTTTTTGCATTAAAAAAAAGGAGAGTAGAAAACATATATTTTTTAATGCACTGTGTCATGTATTCAAATGATGTACAGAATTTCATGATTTCAAATTTTCCAGACACCAGAATTCAAATAAAATACCATCGTGAAAATTCTGCTGTATACGACATTGTTCATGATTTCAAAATTTTTGAGGGACCCGTGGGAAGACTGTTTGCAAAATGCCATAGAAATATTAATATATGACAAATTTTTAAAAATTCGTGCCAAAAAGTAATTCTTGGTTATTTTTCTGGTGTTCTACTTTCACTTCCGTGTTATAGAAGGAAGCTTTGCTGAATCATAATTTAATTATTTCGGCATATTATAGAAAGAAAAAGTTTCTGGAGAGAAAATTCCGTATTTCGTTAAGAAAATCAAGAAAAGATTATTTAACAGTGAAAGATAATTTGGTTGCTTTCGTCGTGACAAAGTGTTCGTTGTCTTTTGCTGGGAA